TATGAGGTACAGAAAAGCATTGCCCCTTCTGAAAAGACTGTTATTTTTCAATGCTTGCAGCACGTTCCCATGACTGATAGTCTGTTCTATACCCCTGTGTCTGTCGAGAATGGTCCAACACTGAAAGCACTGATTGACAGCGGCTCTATGGCATGCACTATAAGCGAAACAGTAGAAGCTAACTTGTTGAAAACCAATCCTAACCTGATAAAGACTCCAGCGGATAATGTCGTCGTTGTTGGATGTGGAGGTCATAGAGTTAACCCCACAGGGATATATGATGTCACAGTCTCCGTTTATGGATGTAAAATGATGCTCTCTGTTCTGGTTGTGACAGGTCAGACAGAAGAACTCATTATTGGCAGCAATGCTATCAAACCGCTGTTGACTCTACTGAGGTCCACTGGCAGCTACTGGAAGTTGATGAACATGCCAAGCGGAGATGGGATGGATGAATCCTTCCAGTTTTTGTCTTTACTTTCCAACACAGAGAGGTGGAAAGGAGATATTGTGCCAGACAAAGTGGGAACAGCCAAACTCAAAGGCAGTGTAACATTACAGCCGCGGAGTGAATATCTAGTTTGGGGTAAACTCCCTAGCAAGGCCATGGTATCAGTAGGTAGTACTGTAGTCATAGAGCCCACCCAATCTAATTCCAGGCCTAAACAGATCTTGGTCGGCAGAGTAATCACACCACTATTTGGTGATGGCTTTGTCCCAGTTAAACTAGTTAACCCCACTGATCGCCCTGTTACACTGAGAAGGAATGCAAAAATTGCTGATGTGTCCCCATGCATTGCAGTAGAAGATTTCACAGAGGTCGAAAGTGTCCAGTGTAACATCCAGTCAAGTGCCCAGTCTTGTCACATCTCCGAACAACCACTACTGTCGGAAGAGGAGTTGACCAACATTCTAAGGGACTTGGGATTGAACGATTTAGACCTAAGTGCATGTGAAGTCTCTCTGGAGTGGAAGAACAAACTCCTCAGCATCATCACAGCTCATGAGTCTATATTCTCAAGGAATAAGATGGATTGTGGTCTGGCCAAAGATTTCGTGCACAGGATCCGTCTGGTTGACGACAAGCCGTTTCGTCTACCTTACCGTAGGATACCACCAAGTCACTATGAGAAGCTGCGGACAGCACTGAATGAAATGGAGGAGTGTGGCATAATAAGAAAGTCTAACAGTGAGTACGCATCACCCTTAGTAATTGTGTGGAAGAAAAATGGCGACCCCAGGATCTGTAATGATTTCAGATGGCTTAACGCCAGGACAGTAAAAGATGCTCATCCTCTCCCGCACCAGTCGGACGCACTCGCTGCTCTAGGTGGAAATGCCTTTTTCTCCACTATGGATCTAACATCCGGTTTTTATAATGTGCCATTACACGAGGAAGACAAAAAGTATACAGCATTCTCATCACCATTCGGACTCCACGAATACAATCGCATGCCTCAAGGCCTTACAAACAGTCCCGCTACATTTATGCGTATGATGATGACGATTTTCGGTGACAAGAACTTTACTAGTCTGTTGTGTTACCTTGATGATCTTTTGGTCTTTGCTCCAACGGAACAGGTTGCACTCGACCGATTGGAGATGGTGTTTTCTAGATTGAAGACTCACAATTTGAAGCTTTCACCAAAGAAATGTAATTTTCTAAGAAGGTCTGTGAAATTCTTGGGCCACATTGTTGGTGAAGACGGAGTCTGTACTGACCCTGGAAAGGTTCAGGCTATCGCTGATGTACAGGTGTCTGATTTAATGGATTCCGATGGCGTCACTCCTTGCCCAAAGAAAATCAGATCATTTTTGGGTATGGTGTTGTATTATCAACATTTTATTGAGAGATGTTCAGCCAAAGCGAAGCCCCTCTTCAAGCTCATCTCCCAGCAGGACACGCAGTGCTTCAAAACGAGAAGGAGGCATTCTAAAAAGAAAGCTGTTCATGTTAAACTAAAACAATATGACTGGACTGAGGAATGCAAATGTGCATTTGAGACTTTAAAACATGACTTGCTTACCAGTGTAACGTTAGCTCATCCTGATTTTGATGGCCATTTCATTTTGGCCGTAGATGCGTCTTTCGATGGATTGGGAGCAGTACTCTCTCAGATTCCCAGAGGCAGTGACATGGCGAGGCCAGTGGCGTTTGCGAGTAAGACGCTTTCACGCTCCCAGATGAACTACCCCGCGCACAGGCTTGAGTTTTTGGCCCTAAAATGGGCAGTATGTGACAAATTCCATTACTGGTTGAAAGGTCGTCATTTTACAGCTTGGACTGACAACAACCCACTCACATACATACTCACCAAACCAAGACTCGATGCATGTGAGCTGCGTTGGGTAGCGAAGCTGGCATCCTATAGTTTCGATCTGAAGTATGTGCCAGGAGCTAAGAACATAGTGGCAGATGCACTCAGCCGGGAGCCTTTTGTCAAGTCCTGTGTCAGCCATCGCCTTGTGACAGAGCCATACCATGCTTTGTTAAATCAACTGAATGGTGTGAGGGACGAAACAGTTCAAGATGCTTTCAGATGCACAAACAACTGTCAACTTGTGAGTACGGATGTTGAACCAGGCTCTGATCTCTCCCTCACACTTTCTCAGGGCAAGTTAACATCGCAGGAAATCTCCGCCCTCTTGGATGCACACTGCTCTGGTGGGACAAGTCGTGTAATGGGGACGGGGGTCATCCCTCATTTGGAGAAGGAGGATTGCACCACTGCTCTGCCTAAAAGCACTCTTCTGACTATGCAGGAGCAAGACAGCACCGTGAGTAGAGTGGTTTACTATGTCCGGAGACACAAGAGACCTGACAAACGTGAGCGTGCAAAGGAGCCTCGTAGTGTAATCAAGCTGCTCAAGCACTGGAACAAACTCACTCTGCAAGATGGTATGCTATTTAAAGTGAAGAGAGATCACAACATGAACAAGCAGCTCTATCAGTTCATTGTACCAGATTGCTTAAAACAACAACACTGCATGAAAAGTGGGATTTTCGTCAGTAAGCGGCACTGTAGATTGTCGTGGAAGTTCAGGTTTACGACTGCACACGGCAATTTACAGGTAACACTCAAAACTGCTGTGAATTGCCGGAAATTGACGTGGGCCTTGCTTGGCAGTTGTCCCCCCATTGTCCCCCCTTCTCCTAAATCTAGAGGAGGCTTTGACATGTAAATGAAAATGCTGTGAGCTATACACATGCAAATAAGGGTAGGGGAGTTTCACCCCAGGTAACATTTTTCTGAAAGGTATAACTTCATTCTAAGACAAGATCAGGCTCAGTATAACCTAATTGCTGTGTTTTTTTTTTTGTTTTTGTTTTTTTAACATTGCACATAATGCACAACAATTACAACAATAACATGACATCCAAAAAGATAACAATCAACAAATAATAATTTCACAATAAATAAGAAACAAATAAAAATAGGACAGAATTGAACAAATGAAATAAAAACAGGAAAGGGACTATCTCTATTGTGTATAATATTATGATTTAAGAGAAAGTTAGAAACCAGTAATTTGTACTATTTAAAGAAAGAAAATTAGCTTCAATTAGCTTCAATATTCTTTAGCAAATACAATTGTATCACTACATTTTTATCGATACATTTGAGAGACAGAATATACTGAAAACTAAAAATTAGACCAAAAAAAAAAAAAAACTTCAAACAAGGTTTAGAATTATTCATTTTACTCTTATGAATATGAAATTTTCCTAATAAAATTATAAGATTCATCATAACATTTACGGAAGCAGTTTTCAAAATATATGATAACATCTTTGATGTTAATTCACAGTTATAAACAGATGTTTTTTGTTTTTGTTTTTTACAATTTTTTTTACTGGTTTATTTATTTTAAGTAACCTAATAAAGTTATTTATTTATGCATATATGTATTTTTACATTTCATGGTAGCCTATTTAGGTATATCCACCTTATTCCTAATTTAAAATGAACTAACAGCAGCAGAAAAGTCAAGGACAGCCGACGACAGCCTTTCAACCTGAGTCAAAAACCAGTGAACGTAACTCTGATTGGCTGAGGCAGCATATCATCATAATCCAACCTGTAACGTCAGCCACTCTGATTGGCTGAGGCAACGTGCCAGGCATGTGGCGTGTTATTCAAGCATAAATAACGGCACAGATATTCAGCCTGCTTCGCCGTCATGATCGCTGGGGAACCCATCTTTTCCTCTAAATTGAAGGTAAGTTCGTCCAGCTTAGTGAATTCTATGTCCATGTCTACTTATAGTTTTTGGTAGTTTTGCGTTTTTGTCTTAAACTTCACAAATCGGCTGTGATTACTGCCGCGAATGTCCAAGGGTGTTAACCTAACGGAACAGTTTTTTGTTTTGCGTTAGCTTGCTGCTCTTAATTCTTTTTTTGTTTCATTTCAATTTGAACAAATTTGGGACACTAAACTGTACGTTGGGTTGCACGTTGTTATCTGGCTGCAAGTTAGCTACCATTCTTTGATAGTAATCAAACTAACTCATTTACTCTGAATATCGTCAGAAATTATGAAAAAATAATAAGTGCCAGGGTCCTAAAACAAAGCGCGTAATGTGCTTGTATGCTCTAGTGTAGGCTATCCTTGTTTGTAAAATTGCATCACTTTGTGTGATGAGTGAAATCTTCAGATGTTTGTGATTTGTTTTGTCTCTCAGGGGCTGTTAGGAGTGAGGTGTCCTTCGCTGATGGGAGAAAAAACACCTAAATAAGGTAACGTTACGTGTTGTGATCTCATCCTCTTTTCTTTTGATCAGACCCCAGTCAAATAAAAAGTAAAACTAAACTAATTTGGATTAACGTCTGTGTTTATAGATGACTTTGAGCGTGAGACAGTGGTGAAAACGCCAAAGAGAACTGGAACATGGCATGTTATATTCAGTTATAAATGTTTGACCAAGTTTTTAAATATCTTATAAATCTGTTCAGTTTCATCATTTGATAATAACTTTTAAAACACATTTTTTTGTGGTATAGATGCAGTGACTGAAACCTGGTGGTAAGTGTTGATCTATTGGCAGTGGAGAAGACACTTTTAATAGACACCTTCTCTCTTGTGAGCTAGCAAACTTTGTTATTCTAATTAGAGCATTGTAAACATCACCAAATGTGTTCGTTTATTTCAGTGTTCCAGAAAAAGGTCCTGAAACTACTGGTCGACATCCGCCATCGCCTGAAGGAAACCAGGTAGTGGATGCAGAAGAAACATATTTTTGCTTACAAATGTGGGGACTTGGGGCAGATTGCCTTTGCATACATCTAAATCATTTGTCTTTTTCAACTTTGCAGAAGGGGTCATGAAATTCGGTTCCACAGCCACTGAGGTGTATGTACATCAAGGTGAACCTCAAGCACGCGTCGCAAAGACTTAAATTCACTTCGCCTACAAGCCTACAGGACTTGAATTAAGAGTTTTAAAGGGATAGTTCACTTTGAAATTATTTTTTGGAATGTTTTGGCTTACGTCAAGGGCATCAGTCAGTCATATAATGGAAGTCTATGGGGATCTCTTAAAAGAGCATGCACAGAGAAGTACAAATTAAACATGATTTAATGAATCATAACTGTAAGTACACGTTGATGGCTTAAGATACGAGACGAGCGGTTTGTGTGAGAAAATGAACAGTGTGTGTGTGTGTGTGTATATATATATATATATATATATATATATATGATCTGCGCATGCGGTGGAAACCGCCAGAAGCGATCTTGCACTGGTACGTTACTCATTGTTTACACAGATTTCGGAAGTTTTACTGTGAAGATCTAAACATATTAAGATGTATTGCATTTTGTGTATATCTAAATATATATATATATATATATATATATACACACACACACACACACACATTTATACAATATAAATACTGTTTGTTTTCTTTCCCAAAACGCTCATTTCGTGTCTTAGTCAATCATTGTGTACTTAATTTATGAGTCATTAAATCATGTTTAATTTTGTCTTCTTTGTGCATGCTCTTTGAGGTGGTGACCATAGACCTGCATTATATGACTGACAGACAACAACAGTTTGACCTAAAAATATCAAAATTGAAAATACTGTGGAAACAAAACCACCTGCATCTTGGATGCCCTTTGAGATAAGATAAAACATATCAAAAATTTATTTCAAAGTGAACCATACCTTTAAATTACATCCTTATTATTCGTTCATAATTCTGGCTCCACTGTACATTGTGTTTGATATATCTGGTGCCCAATTCTGATGCCATTCAGGGCAATTTATTTTTGAATAGAGATGCAATATATTATTGATTTATTTGTATAACTGTAGTGCTGTATGTATGTATGTTGTCCCATGTTTCCAGAGGGTGGAGGACATGTTTTCTGTGCTTTGAAAGATGTTCTCCTATGCTGTGTACATAGTTTTGTGTTTGTTCTAATAAAGCTGTTTCTTTGAATAAACAGTATGTGGCAAATGTTCCTTTCCTCAATAAATTCATGTCCTTGATGGTAATAATAATTTAGTCCATAGGATAACAATGACATGAATAAACAACATAATAGCATATCATATGAATATATATATATATGATTATTATTATTATAATTGTATGTCGGCTGACCAATAGTAACAGATCTGCCAACCAATCACGAGTGATTTTCTTGTTTAAATGTAGTGAATTTCAACCAATACTGAGTGAGGAAATTCAAGCCATTCTCTGGCAAGGCGCGCGCAGTGCTGCTATTCATATGCTAATTAGGGCCATTCGCACCTCCGCGAGCGCTGCATGCATACGTCATGGTTCGTTTCCGTCAATATGTGGCACAGTGGAACGCGACGTTCACAGTCTGTAAATTGTCGTTAACTGCCGAAAATTAGGGAGATTTCCGGCAGTTTACGGGGACGAAAATCCCACTTTTCATGCAGTGCAAGTTCTCCATGCCATACACGATGCCGCAGGTCACCAAGGACGCTCACGTACACTGTCATTGGCCAGGCACCGCTTTTTTTGGACAGGTATGGCGCATGATATTGTGCATTATGTCAGAAACTGCAAACGTTGCATTGTTGGTAAGACTCCAGAGCCGGATGCTCGTGCTCCTTTGGAGAACATTCACACCACAGAGCCCATGGAATTGATTTGTATTGATTTCTGGTCAGCGGAGCAGGGAGATAAGTCTGTTGATGTTCTCGTAGCGACGGATCACTTCACCAAAATGGCCTTTGCTTTTCCTTGTAAGAACCAGTCAGCAAAACAAGTGGCCCGCCGTTTATGGGATGATATTTTTCTGCATATATGGCTTCCCGAAGCGCGTGCATTCTGACCAGGGGGCTAACTTCACGAGTAAGCTCATCAAGGAACTGTTGGATATGGCTGAGATAAAGAAATCTCACACTACCCCTTACCATCCGATGGGTAATGGGATCACAGAGCGTTTCAACAGGACCTTGGGGAGCATGATCAGAGCTTTACCGCCCAAGTCCAAAGCAAAGTGGCCCCAGTCATTAAGAGTGCTGACTTTCTGTTATAACTGTACTGTCCACGAAACAACTGGCTTTGCACCATTTTACCTTATGTTTGGGAGGATTCCCAGACTTCCGATTGATGTAATGTTTCAACACGTTCTAAAGAATAATCTTGTCATTACCCATTCAGAGTTCGTGTCCAATCTCAAAAGAGACTTGAGTGAAGCAGCAAAGGTTGCTCAGAGGCACAGTTCAGCTGAACAGGCTCGTCATGCTAAGCTCTACGACCGTAAGGTAAAAGGCTCTCCATTGACTGTTGGTGACAGGGTTTTGTTGGCAAACAGAGGCGAGAGAGGAAAACGGAAAGTTGCAGACAAATGGGAGTCCACGGCTTACGAAGTGTTGTCAGTAAGATCGGCAATCAAATGTCTACCGTGTGAAGGACACAGTCACTGGCAAAGAAAAAACAGTTCATCGGAACTTGCTCCTTCCTGTCAGTTTCCTGTTTGAGAGACCATGAGTTGACCTGTCGTCTGATTCTCTGTCAGTTGAAGCTCGAAGCGATCAGGGTGATCCTCTGCCTTGTGAACAACTCGACAGCGATGAAAAAACATTGCGGTGGATTTTGCAATCTGGAGAGAATGCTGAACTTGATGAGGTTGTTGTCATGATTCCCAGCTCATCTAACCCAGTAGAGAATACTCATGTGGATGATGTTGTCGACGACAGTCATGGATGTACTGGCCAGGACAGGGATGTGAGCCAGTCTTCATTTCTAGATGATCAGTCTGCCCACAGTCACTCCGTACAGCTCCCCACAGACTCTCCAGCTGATCCACACTCACATGTTCCCAGTAGTGTAGACTCAGAATCAGATGAGCCTGTAGTTAATCAGCCTAGGCGAGGCATGACTATGACTAGGATTGGTAGGACCATTAAACCTCCAAAGAGATTAATTTGTGAGATGAATGACCAGGTTGTGGAAGATTCAAGATCTTCAGTGAGTTCTTTTGTTACTCTAATGAGACATGTTTTTGCAGTGTAGCCTGAGACTTTATAATGTACCTTTTGAGTAATTCTGTTCCTGGGTGTAGACAGATACTCCATTTTTCTTTGGAGTTTTTGAGCTGTGTCAATTAGGAGAGGTGTAAACGGCATCTCTTGTATCTATGTTAAGGTTTAGGGTTTGGTACCACCCTATCCTTGCATATCTCTGTAGGAGGAGTTTTGTAACTGACTATAAGACATTAACGCTCAAGGTAATTCATTCATTTGTTTAAAAATGTTTTTTTTTTTCTCTTTCTCTTTCCCCTTCTTTCTTTTGTTTTCTCTGTTTTGGATACGCTACCCCGATTTAGCAGAAATTTAGGGGGTGTATGTAACGGTTTGTTTATAGTTAAATTCCTGCTTAAATGGGGTAAGCGCCATCTGCTGGCGCCACTTTGGTATTGCGCCACGGTGTTAAAAATAGCGAATTCTGGGTAATCCACAGCAGAATTTCTGGTAACTGCTGTGGTAAGTCGCATGTTAAACGCTGCAGAGACAAAAATAGCCTAAGTGCCTTAAATATCACTACACAATGTTTATTTCACTGTATTTTTGTAATAATGTAATTAAGAGATGTATGCTGTTTGTCTGATGTTGAGTGAGTCATTAGTTTAGGGTTTAATGTTATATGTAGCACATGTTGCACGGCTGCCGCTAATGATATTCCTCCATCTGATTTACTGTGTGTTGTGTAGGGCTGTGTTTTATTCTCTGTTTGCGATGTCATGCCACTCCTGATTCGTTTTGGTTTCCCCTTGTGCAGGTAATACTGAATTTAATGTTTATTTTTGTTATGTGGAAAATGTACGTTATAACAGCAATATTCCTGTTGAAAACAATTTGCTGTTTTATAAACTGTTTCATATGGCAGAAATACTTATGTCAGAGATTTTATTTATTTTATTTTATTTATTTCACATTTTTCTGTGGGAAAGACAACGAATTGTGAAACATTTCATTCAAACATTCCACTATACGATCACACTGGAATCAGTTAATAAAAAAGAGCAGAATTTCTGGTAACTGCTGTGGGCTGTGTTTTATTCTCTGTTTGCGATGTCATGCCACTCCTGATTCGTTTTGGTTTCCCCTTGTGCAGATGTTCCATATACACAACAAGAGTGATAAATAGAGGACCGTCACATAAGCACCATTCTTACTAGTACATTAGATATTGTTGCGCCAATTAAATTAAAAAAGGTTCGAGAGAAAATTAAAGCACCATGGTACAACAGTGCTACGCATACTATCAAGAGAGAAACTCGCAACTTAGAGCGTAAATGGAAACAAACTAATTTAGAGGTCTTTAGAATCGCGTGGAAAGACAGTATGTCACGTTATAAAAAGACACTAAAAACAGCCAGGGCTGAGCATCTCCGCAAACTAATCGAAAATAACCAAAATAATCCAAGGTTTTTATTTAACACCGTGGCTAGACTAACAAATAAACAGACATCACCAGAACAAAATATACCGTTACAGTTTAGTAGTAATGATTTTATGAATTACTTCAATGCGAAAATAGAAAGCATCCGAAACAAAATTATAAATGTACAATCCGCTATGGTGTCTTATGATTCAGCTTCAATTATGGCCCCTCTAGAACAACTAAACCGCTTTACAACGATAGGACAGGAGGAGCTAAATAAACTTATCATTGCATCTAAACCAACAACATGTTTATTAGATCCAATACCCACTAAACTACTGAAAGAACTATTACCTGCAGTGGAAGAGCCTCTCCTCAATATTATTAACTCGTCTTTATCTTTAGGTCATGTCCCAAAAATATACAAGCTGGCTGTAATAAAACCGCTCATTAAGAAACCGCAATTAGATCCAAATAACTTGGCAAATTACAGACCCATCTCAAATCTTCCATTTATGTCCAAAATACTTGAAAAAGTAGTGTCCGCTCAATTGTGCTCTTTTTTGCAAGAAACTGATATCTATGAAAAATTCCAGTCAGGATTCAGACCGCATCATAGTACAGAAACTGCGCTAGTTAAAATTACAAATGATTTACTTTTAGCTTCTGACCAAGGCTGTATCTCAATACTAGTCCTACTCGATCT